GTGTGTGTGTGTGTGTGTGTGTGTGTGTGTGTGTGTGTGTGTGTGCATGTGTGTGTGTGTTTGAATAAACTACACAATGATATCCAAGTTAAATAGAATTCAAATCCCTTATTACATGTTTGTCAAATACTGACAAAACTCACAGTCTGTTCACAGTGTTTGTGTAAACTCCCGCAGGCTCACACACAGCGGCCTAAGACCCCTGACTCCTCCTTCAGTTCCTCACCAGCTCCCTGCAGGCTGTCCCTGGCTTGCCACCCCAGCCCTGGCTCACTGCTGGACCCTGCAGGGCCTGCAGCCATTGCAGACCCTCATCCAGCCATGGTGGCTTCCTGCTTTTCCTCCCAATGTTCCCGAGCCCAGTGCTGGGTGAGGCTCTCTGCCGTGGGCGCTGCTGGGCACATTGCAACAGCAAGGAAAGCTTTGTGGTGGAAAAGGTCTGGTTCCACTACCACCAAAATAAGTTTCTTTGTTGCACTATTTTGATTCCTTGGGCCTGAGACCTATATTTAAATTTAATTTATGTGTTCATTTGGTTCCAAATTGTTATCCATCATGCTCCAAAGTAAGAAAAATAAATTGTCTTTTTTTTTTTAACCATGAGGCCATCTGGGCTAGTCATCTTTACATCACCTAAAACACCTGACAAGGACAGCTTTGAGGAGGCAAAGTTTATTTGGGGCTCACGGTTTCAGAGGTTCGGTCTTTGATGGGCTGACTTCATGGCTCTGGGCCTGAGGTGGGGGGAGGAGAGTTGCTACCTTCCTGCCCACAGCTACCCGCTGCTCTGGCCACAGCCCACCGGCCTCACCCCAGTTAGCCCATTCAGACTAGGATCCACCAGTGAACACAGAGCTCTGAATATTCCTGCATTACCCCAGAAGATTTGGGGGGAAAACCTTATATTCATACCATATGACCACCTGAAAGTAATTTTATTGTATTTTTAAATATTTTCAAAATATCTTATCTTTTTCAGTTTATTAAAAATAATGTATCCAATAACAAAAACCGAATTTCTGTTGATTGACTATATATGCTGTGATGGTTAATCTGGATGGTCACCTTGCTTGGATTAAGTGATGCCGAAGGTTAAGAGGCTCTGGGTTTGTCAGGGAGGATGCTTCTAGGAATGATTGGCAAGGGGGACACCAAATTGAGGGGGAGACCCACCCTCAATGCGGACAGCACAGTCCAGTGTGTGGAGGCCTGGATGGAACCAAATTTGGAAGAAAAGGGAAAGAGGAGCAGAAGAAGCCTCATCCTCCTCAAGCGGGTGCTTCTGTCGTGCTGCGACCACCTGAGGACCTCAGACGGCAGCTCCTTCTCTCTTGCAAAGCTGCTATGACCAGTGACTCTCCAGGGAGTGTCCAGGCCTTTGGTCCTGCACCAGGCTGCACCGTTGCTCCCTCTTGTCCTGAGGCTCCACCTCCTTAGACTGAGCAGCTGCCGGCTCCCCAGCTCTCCAGCCTGCAGACGGCCACTGTGGGACATCCACTCCTGGTCACGGGAGCCAGTCTGTAAATCCCCATTACATATGTGTATATCCTGTTGATTCTGTTCTAGAGAATCCTGACTAATATACATGTTTTTTTCTACTTTTTCTTTTAGCATTTTTGTTTTTAAGAGCTTTTATTATTTTTATTATTTTCTTTCTTTCTTTACTCTTATTGCAAATATTTCCTCAGCTTTTTTCCTGTTGCATATATTGCTCTCACTAGTTTTTTAAAAAATTTTTGTCTTGATTTTGGCATTCATATGTAATTCTTTTTCCTTTTTGGGTTCCTTCATTATTTTATGCTGTTTATTTTATTGTGTATATGACCTGATTTGACTGGATTAACAAAGCCTCAGCAAATGGCTTGGGTTTAGACTGAAAGAAGCTGCAAGAACTTTAAAGTAAAGGAATGATGTTGCTGAGAAATAGTTCTATAAATTCATCGTGGCGGTTCAACCATTCATTACTTTTGACATCTAATTTTTATCATCAAACTCAATTGTAATATGCTAAATATGAAGATTATTGTAATGCTAGAATATTAAGACATGTTGAAAGAATTACTGTGCGTAGCTTTCAGACACTGCACCTATGGTGTTAGGGAGAGAAGGTTTCCCAACAGAAACAGTGCCAACTCCCAAGTATTTCATGTGGTCCATTTAGACCGAAGCCGGGCAGCCATAGTGTGTTTTAGCCTTCTTGGAGTTTATCAGTATCAGGCAGCTGTTGCCTGTCTTAAAGAAAGTGCCAAGAGAAAATAATGAGATTGTACAGAACTCCAAGAAGCAAAAACTTTCAATGTGGAATCTCAGAGTTAAGAATATGAAGGGGAATGAAAAGACCAAACAGTCAAAGCTCCAGTAAGTCCTACTGCTTATTTACATAACATTACCCTAAACGCTTTGCATTAAAATTTTCTTTGAACAGTTGCCCTCTCTGGAATACGCCAGAAACCCAGTCTGTTTCTTTCAGGAGCTGGCGCTGCACCGATAATTTCCAGGCACGAGTCTGCAACTGCAGTTCCTCTTTCACTGTGAACTTGCACTTCAGGAGTCTTTGATTGGCATGAACATGGTGCCAAGGAAGAGCCCCACGAAGACAGAGAGGAAGAAGCAGACAAGCCGTCTTCATTTCTGAATAAACAGAGCATTCAATTCATGTGTAGGCGAGTTGATTTCTCAAAGGTTCACTTCTGCTCTCTGGCGATAAGGGGAAGTGGAGCGTCCCCCGTGCCCAGGCCTTCTCCACACAAGGCCATCCTGGGCTCTGTGTCTCTCCACAGGACACACTCAAACACGACTCTTGGCAGCTGTGGACCTCATCTTTGCTGTATTGCCCATGCATAGACACGCAACCCTCCCTCTGTTCCCATTTGGCATGACTTCAGTGACCAATCCAGTGGTACCAAGAATTTCCATGCTTAAGATAACGGGAAATCTTGGAAAGGCACTTTTGGCTCCCCAGTAAATGGTGTCTTCAGGGAGGAGGCAGAGGGTACCAGAAGGGGGAGCAGATGCCATCAACGCCTGATGAACACGTGTGAAAACATCACAATGAATTCTATTCATTTGTACAATTAATAGGCTAGTAATTATAACAAAACTAATGTTTTCATGCATACAAATGAATTTCACATGTCAGCCTATTCCATAGTAGTATTTAAGCTGATATTTACACCTTAACTACTATTTAATTAGTCAAACATTGCTGGGAAGTCTGTGTGGAGAATATTTTGGAAAAGCATCCTTTTATTGATATACATTGAGTGTCTGCAAAAAGTATTTACTGTGTTGAGTGTCACGGTGCTGACTCAAATCATGGAACCTTTGGATTTTAAGACATTTTGAACTATCTTAAAAACTGTAGATGAAATACACATTGAAGTAGAATCCATGTCTGAAGTAATTAGTAAATAGCAGATTTCGTTTTGACTGGAAGCTGTGGAGTGGACAGCTGATTAACGGACATGGCACTCTAAAGTCCACAATAGGAACAGGGGCTGGAATCACTAATGTGCAAAACAGAAGAGGATGAATGAGAAGCCATCACCCTTTCTCAGCACCTAGTTGACTAAGGAATTGCTTCCCGTAGTGGGTAGGGGGTGTCTTTCTTCCCATTTCCCCCCTGTAGGACCTTCTTGCCTTTGGGTTGAGCAGCATCATAAAATCTTGCATAAGACTTGGAGTTTAAAAATTACAGAAAACAAGACTACCTCTAGCTATTTCCACACTTATTCACTGTTAATTCTACTGTAGTTTTAGAGGCAATGTCTAGCATATAGCCAAGAACTACGAGATATATAAGGAAGGAAGTAATAGTCCAAAGGAAAATGGTCAAGAGTAAAACCAGTGGATCAACCCCAAACAGCCCAGAGGTCAGAAGAGAAGAGCATGAATAAGAGATTTGGAAACACATGACAACCCCACAGACATGTGATGATACCGGAAGGAAACAAAAGCCAACGGTGGGTGTCAGCAGCTCCTCAGGGGATCCACAGGGAAAGGCCAGTTACTTTGAGGAGAGACGTTAAACTTATCTGAACTGAAGGAAAGGGAGAATAAATTTAAAAGAACAGATCAAAACAAAATCAAGAAGGCCTCGGCGGCCTGCAAGTCCGTATCAAGCAGTGTATGTTGGAGTCCCAGAAAGAAGGAAAAAGAAGGCGGAGCAGGAAAATATCTGATGGGATCCTGCCTGGGATCTTCCAAATTTATTTTAAAAACAGGAGCCCAGTGACAGCAAGTCAGCTCACATGAGGCAGCGTCAGCACAACAGGCAGACACACGCCGAAGGTGCGTCACAATCCACGGGGACAACACGGACAAGAAGAGCCGCTGGCTTCTCATGATGGTGGACAAGGGGCGTGGACTCACGGACCCCTGCAGGTCCCAGTGAACTGCACTGGTGGACTTCCCAGGCAGACCAAAGAGGCCAGCCAAGCTCGGAAAACCAGCTGCCCCAGGACAGTGAGATGGCCTTCCTGGTCCACGCAAACAGCCAGGGGTCCTGGGGATTCCAGAAGGGACTGATCCGGTTTCAGGTGGGAAGGCATCAGGACATTGACACATTTAATGGAGAAAGAAAGCTCCAAACATGATCAGCCCCTGAAATAGTGCCAGCGGCAAAAACTTCCAAGAAGCTGAAGCCATAATTAAAGACAGACAGTTAG